AGAGAGCTCTCTCAGCCGCACCTACCTCACAGGGTGTCTGTTGTGGGGAGGGGAAGGGAAAGGAGTTTGTAAGCCGCTATGAGACTCCAAGTGAAGGGCAGGGTATAAATCCAATCTCCTTCTCTTCTCTGGTGTAAATTCTCTCTGAGCTGTTCTCTCAGGAGCAGTTTCTGTCAGAGCTCTCTCAGCCCCACCTACCGTATTTTCCCGAAAATAAGACACTGTCTTATATTTATTTTTTCTCAAGAAGACACACTAGGGCTTATACCACAAATGCATAGAAATCCTGCTAGGGCTTATTTTTTGGGTAGGTCTTATTTTCGGGGAAACAGGGTACCTTACAGGGTGTCTGTTGTGGGGAGGGGGAAGGGAAGGGAAAGGAGATTGTAAACTGCTCTGAGACTCCTTTGGGTAGATAAGTGTGGAGTACAAATCCAATCTTCTCTTCCTTCTTTCTTGGGTTCAGAGGTACACCGATAACAGGCACATTAGAGCAATAACTTATTCCAAAGCTTCTATTGCATGTGTTTGGTCCCTTAAAACCATCTGAACATCTTCCCTGAGGAAGAGTTTTGTGGAACAGAGAAAGTTCGCATATTGATTTGAGTCCAGTTACATAGGGGTACCAGCTTCCAGGTGGAACCTGGGGACTCCCCCAGAATTACGGCTCATCTCCAGACTACACAGAAAATGGCTGCTTTGGAGGGTGGACTCTGTGGCATTGTATCCCACTGTGGTCCCTGTCCTCTCCAGGCTCCACCCCCAAATCTCCAGGAGTTTTCCAGCCTGGAGCTGACAACCTTGACCCCTCAGCCTGGCAATCCTAAATAGCAGCTTAGAGACCAATAACCTTATCGGGGTATGAGCTTTCTACAATCAAAACTCCATTGGTCAGACACCAGGTTCTATATAGTGAAACTGCTCGGCCCCCTGTCCATTTAAAAATTAAAACTATCCCTCTAGAATTGTTAACAATTTAAAGGGATTTTTTTTACTAGCCCCCGTAAATCGAAGATCGAGGAGGAGCAAGGACATTTCTCCATCCAATCGTTCCGCAGCGCGGGATTTTCAAACCTCTTCCTTCTCCACAGCTCCGCCTCTTGCAGTTTATTAAAAGCAGTCGGGCTTCTCTCGAACTCTTGAGTCGTTCAGAATAGTTCAGTCCCGCAAGCACAGCTGCCGGGGCCGTTGGGTGGAGACAAGAGTCATTCCCCCGGGCCCGAGGTCTTCCCGAAAGGTTTCTGCGGGAACTGCTGCCTAGGAACGAGAGGCGGGAGGCGGCGTCCTGGATACGCTGGCTGGGGTGTTGTGTGTGTGTGTGTTCAACTGAGATTTATTTCCGCGTAAAATTGTCCGGGAAAAGGAAACTGTTGAGTTCCAAAATCGTGAGATAATCCGATTTTTTTAAAAAACAAACACAAACGTGGCCCTTTGTGGGCGTGATTGGATTCATCTCTGCGCCCCTTTAATGGAAGGTTTCCTTGACCGAAATAAAACATCAGATGGTTACCCCTGTTTAAGAGTTCACACAAACATACACGTGGCAGTGTGAAATTAGGGTACTGGGTAAAAAAAAACCTAGAGAACCCATGAAGATCTGTGTAGATTCGCCTTTTGTTCCCCCCCCCCCCTGAAATATGATATTTAATTATTTTATTCAGGGGGTGTTTGGTACACTTTGATTTTAAACCATAAAAATAAGACCGATGGAAAAGGGGGGGCGAACAAGCGTAAATTCCAAAATCAGACTGCAGTTCAACAAAGAACGGAGGGGGGGGGGAGAAACCTGAGGCTATATTTAGACGGATCGGAACAAAAATAACCTTATTGATCTAGAGGACAAATCATCCCACAAGATAAACGCGTTCCCTTCTCCTTTCCCTCCCTCGAAGGTCTATTTGAAGTGACTTGGACGTTCGCCCAGGGGAACAGAGTAGGAGACCAGAGCACTTAGGGAAGGGGACGCAATTTGGAACACACCAGCCGGAGAGGGGCGGGCCAGAGACCGAAACCTTGTTGGCCAATCCTGGACAACCCCGGGAAAATTCAAATTCTGAAACGACCCTTCCGAGCCAATCAGGAGAGGGGGCTTTTGCTATAAATTCTCTGCCGCCAACGCGTTCCTTTCCATATCGCTGCGTTCTTCGAGGAATTGTTGGGCTTCGGACTAAAAAGCAAGAATGGCTCGTACTAAGCAAACGGCTCGTAAGTCCACTGGAGGGAAAGCGCCTCGCAAACAGCTCGCTACCAAGGCTGCCCGGAAAAGCGCGCCCGCCACCGGGGGTGTGAAGAAACCTCACCGCTACCGCCCTGGGACCGTCGCCTTGCGGGAGATCCGCCGCTACCAGAAATCTACTGAGCTGCTCATCCGCAAGCTTCCCTTCCAGCGCCTGGTAAGAGAGATCGCCCAGGATTTCAAGACCGACCTGCGCTTCCAGAGCTCGGCCGTCATGGCTCTGCAGGAAGCCAGCGAGGCTTACCTCGTGGGCCTCTTCGAAGATACCAATCTGTGCGCCATCCACGCCAAGAGAGTCACCATTATGCCTAAGGATATCCAGCTGGCGCGCCGTATCCGCGGAGAGAGGGCCTGATTTCCCTCAGCCGGCGTTGAGCAACAAAATAACCCAAAGGCTCTTTTAAGGGCCACCCACAAACCTCGAAAAAAGAGCTGTTACATGTTACCTTTTTCTTAGTGAGAAAATAATATGTTGGTACTGCTGGGCTGCCAAACAGGAAGCACATAGTACAGGGATGAGCTGGAATCACATTTTCCATCATGATCCTAGCTGGATGTCTCTTAAAGCTGTAAAATAACTAGTATACATACCATAGACAGGCATAATGTATATTTAAGTAATACTGCTTATCTTACTAGATCGGGAAAATTCTGAGTTTGGTAAGGAAATGCAAAACCCTGACCTGAGTAGCCCAGGCAAGACCAATCTGGGGTCTGCCCTGTCCAGACGGGAGACCTCCAAGGAATACCAGGGTTGCCATGCAGAGGAAGGGTCAGGCAACCTGCTCCCTTTTCTTCTCTTGCCTTGAGAACCCTAGATGGATAATGGTTCATACACAACAAGAAAATGCAGGCACTGGGGGAAGCTGGTGAGCACGATCTATTTTGTTCCGCATCACGATTCCTCTGCCCCTCGGTGTAAAAAAAATCATGAGCAGAATGGTCCCTGCTTCACATCACTTCTACAAAACTCTCAAAGGCCTTCAGCAAGAGCCTCCTGCATTTTCATAAGGGGATAAGCATAGTTTGTCTAGTTGGTTTTACCTGGGGCCTATCCATGTAAACACCATGTGAGATAGGTTAGGCTGAGAAAGTTGTGTGGTCTTGTGCCAAAAAAACCCCAACTTCTCCCAACTGACCCCCCAGCTCTAGAGAGAGAAAAGGTTGTGTTTCAAAAGCAGGGTAAGCTATACTGAAAGGCTGCTAAGCTTCGGAGAGAGGGCATATTGGTTTGCAGTACAACAGTTAAGATTTGAGTCCAAGAGCATCTTAGAGACTGACCCTGAAACTCTTGTTGGTCTCTTAAGGTGCTGCTGAACTCATATCTTGCTGGGGAGGAGTGTTCAGAGAGCCTTACTAGGCAAAATGGGATGAGCTGGAATCACATTTTCCATCATGATCCTAGCTGGATGTCTCTTAAAGCTGTAAAATTACTATACATACCATAGACAGAGGCATAATGTATATTTAAGTAATACTAATTATTTTACTAGATCAGGAAAATTCTGGGTTTGGTAAGGAAATGCAAAACCCTGACCTGGGTAGCCCAGGCGAGACCAATCTGGGGCAGGCAAGACCAATCTGGGGTCTGCCCTGTCCAGACGGGAGACCTCCAAGGAATACCAGGGTTGCCATGCAGAGGAGGGGGCAGGCAACCTGCTCCCTTTTCTTATTGCCTTGAGAACCCTAGATGGATAATGGTTCACACACAACAAGACAATGCAGGCACTTGGGGAAGCTGGTGAGCAAGATCTATTTTGTTCCGCATCGCCATTCCTCTGCCCCTCGGTGTAGCAAAAATCATGACCAGAATGGTCCCTGCTTCACATCACTTCTACAAAACTCTCAAAGTCCTTCAGCATTTTCATAAGGGGATAAGCATGGTTTGTCTAGTTGGTTTTACCTGGGGCCTATCCATGTAAGCACTATGTGAGATAGGTTAGGCTGAGAAAGTTGTGTGGTCTTGTGCCAAAAAAACCCCAACTTCTCCCAACTGACCCCCCAGCTCTAGAGAGAGAAAAGGCTGTGTTTCAAAAGCAGGGTAAGCTAAGCTTCGGAGAGAGGACATGTTGGTTTGCAGTACAACAGTTAAGATTTGAGTCCAGGAACATCTTAGAGATTGACCCTGAAACTCTTATTGGTCTCTTAAGGCGCTGCTGAATTCATACCTTACTAGGGAGGAGAGTGTTCAGAGAGCCTTACTAGGCAAAATCGTGCTTTCTTGTGAAGTATTTTTAGGTCTTTTACAGTGTTTTGCTTGTTTGGAATTCTTGGGTTTAAGCAGTTAAGACTTCTTTTGGAGTATCCTTTAGGTTCTGGCCCTAGCAACCCCAAATCACTATAAATTCCTTGAGAGTAGTCAAATAGTTCTGGGTTGAGCACCTGGTTTCTGGAGCTATTCTGAATTTGATAGTGGCCCATTTAGTTCAGCACAGAGCCAGTTTGATGCAGTGGTTTAGAGCAGTGGACTCTAATCTGGAAGAACTGGGTTTGATTTCCCCACTCCTCCACATGCAGCTGCTGGTGCAACCTCGGATCAGTCACGGTTCTCTCAGAGTTGTTCTCTCAAGAGCAGTTCTCGAAAGAGCTCTCTCAGCCCCACCTACCTCACAGTGTGTCTGTTGTGGGGAGAGGAAGGAGATTGTAAACTTCTTCTCTGCACTCCTATAAACTAAGAACCCCCTGAGAAAGAGCTTCAGCAAAGCAAGCTAGAGAGTTTTTGTCACTTCCTGCTCCAGACTAATTTAAAGAAATGGGGGGGGGGTGTTTTTCCATGCTAGGATTCTCCTAAAATTGAAGCATTCCTGACTATGATATCATTGCCTCTTGCTTAGGAGTCTGAATTCTTCTGCGACCAGTTGTGATCAGGAGCAGTGGTGGATTGCCTTGTTAATTTGCCCAGTCCCTTTTTAAAAATTGGTAGCCCCTTCTGTTTTGTCTGAGCTACGAAAATTGTAGCTTCTTGCTCACTAGATCCACTGCCCCAGATATGGGAAGGATAGCGATTCTTCCATGGAAAAGACAATAATGCCAGGAAATGTTGAAGGCAGCAGGAAAAGAGAAGGACCCAAGGTCAAGGAAGCCCCGAGGGCCCTGCAAGACCTCAGCAAGGCTGTGAACAACAGGACTTTGGGGAGTCATTCATTCATCGTGGTGGTGGTGGAAAGTGCCATGGCCTGCCTCTGCGCCACAACCCTGGACTTCATTGATGGCCTCCCATTCAAATACTAGCCAGGGCCAACCATGCTCATTCATTCATTCATTCATTCATTCAAATTTATACCCCACCCTCCCAGCAAGAGACTTTCAGAGGTGGTTTGCCATGGCCTGCTTCTGCACCACAACCCTGGACTTCATTGATGGCCTCCCATTCAAATACTAGCCAGGGCCAACCCTGCTTATTCATTAATTCAAATTTATATCCCACCCTCCCAGACAGGGCGGCTTACATAAAATCAGCAACGAACATTTAAAATACCATAGATCATTTAAAACAGTATTAAAATCAGATTACCATTCTAGAATACCATAATGTGCTAGATTTGCTGTTATAGAGTCTCAGCTGGCTACCATCGACTCTCTCTTCCTGAGCCGGCTCGCAGATCTTCTGTAGTTGTCTTTCAGTGTCTTTCCAACGGCCAGCACAGGCTGTTAATATTAGGTCTTCCAAGATCTGACAAGATCAGGCTGGACTGGACTATCCAGGTCAGAGCCATGAGCTTAAAAGTTGTGTGCAGATTGCAGGATATGAGACCTCTGTGTGTGTCTGTGTGTACGCACATGTAAAGCGCCATCAAATTGCAGCCAACTTATGGCAGCCCTACAGGGTTTTCAAGGCAAGAGATTTTAAGAGGTGGTTTGCCATTGCCTTCCTCCGCCTAGCAACCCTGGTGTTCCTTGGTGGTCTCCCATCCAAATACTAGCCTGGGTTGACCCTGCTTAGCTTCTGAGAACTGATGAGGTCAGGCTAGCCTGGGCTATCCAGGTCAGGTTCATTAATCTATAGGGGCTGCAGTCACATGGAGCATTAGCCACGCTACTGAGACGGGTGATAGGCAGATTTTCCGAGCGCGATCACACCGCAACTTCTGGGAAGTGTAGAGCTCCCATGGCGAACCCGAGGCTTCCCGCCAAAGATGCGGAGTTAAAAACTAGTACCTCTGAGGTACTGGTTTCCAGAAACCAGGGCAAGGGCTGGTGTCTGATCGCGTTTCCGGTGGTAGTCCGTGGCATTCGGCGCCCGCCCATGTCCCATCACAAACAGGTTTTTCCCCCCAAGTCTCCACAGGATGCACACAAGCACCCAACGGTGCATGCGCACAAAGAGGAAAGTGAACGTTCCGTTGCTCCGCAGAATCGTGCATGCTGTTGGTGAGATCGCACCGCGCCGCTTCTTTGCCGCGCTGCAGGATCATCGTGTGATCGCCACCTCGCCCCTACCCACGGGACCTCGACGGGACGTGTGATCGGGTGGCCGCGCGTTATTTTGCTCCAGGCCAAACTGCCACGCTCCCCTGACCGGGACAAGGGTCTCCTATAAAGTCAGAAGTGACTGGACAGCCCTTCTCTCTCTCACACACACAAAGCTACGCTTTTCCACACAATTCAGCTGCTTCTGGTAGAATCTCTCTGAGGGTACACAGAGCTCCCCTGCATCTCTGAAACAGATGCTGCCTTACTCGGTGAGCTGGGCATCCACAGCAGGGGAGGATAAGCAGGCCCATGTGGCCTATGTTTTGGAGCAGGCCCCGGGAGCTTAGGAGAGAGGTGGATAGGGACTAATTGCTTGTCTCTAAATAAGCAGGGACTTGCCTGTTACTGGAATTCAGGTGAAGTTACCCTGCAGGCCAAGGAGCCGCCTGATTGGTAGCTGGGGGAAGGAGCTGCTTTCTGATTGGCGTAAGACCTCAGCAACAGTTTGAAGTGGGCCTCTCCCGCCTACCAACTGCATTTCCTGCCCGTGGAAGAAACAGCAAACTAATTTAAAAAACACACAGGCTCTTCCCCAGCGGGAGACGCCTCTTGTTTCCAACCCGAGATTCAGCAGGGACCAGATAATTGCAGGCTAGGGAACGACTGCTTCTTGCTTTGGAAAGCTGAAAAGGGCGGAACCTTCCTGAATCTATTTAGAACCTTTCTATTCTTACCGTTCCACTGGGGGAGGAAGAGGTTCTCTGGATATGCAGCCAGACAGTTTACGCCAGATACATACTGTGTGCACCAGCTTCCCTCATTTTTGATTCCTGGCCCTAATAGACCCTTGTCCCTGCTCT